GCATTTCTTGTGCTTCACCCTCCCAAGTATCTGGGATTACAGGCACCCACCACCACACCCAGCTAATTTTTTGTATTTTTAGTAGAGACGGGGTTTTGCCGTGTTGGCCGGGCTAGTCTCAAACTCCTAAACACAGGCAATCTGCCTGCCTTGGCTTCCCAGAGTGCTGGGATTCCAGACGTGAGCCACGCACCTGGCCCAGACTTTTGACCTTTTTCACTCTGAGTCATCCTCGTCAATCTGACTGTCCGCATTTAGGGACAGTAACCTGGCTTCCCAATTCAGTCACAAAGTTGAGAACATCCGCATGAAAGATCTTTCTAATATTCTTTGCATGTCAGAATCCTCCGTGTCCTTGTTCTTCCCTTTCATTGTTTCATTTGTGAGGATAAAAGTGTCTGCTTTCTTACATTGCCTGTCTCTGCCTTCTTCTCTCACATCCCTGCTGGCTTCTTCTCATCCTCCTGCCTGTTCTTCCTCCCCCGCCTGCCTGTTTCTTGCTATGTGAGCCTCCCCCAGGATCCGTCCTTGGCTGACTTCTGTCTTTCCTCTGAAGCTTCGTCCTCAGGGTTCGCTTTATGTCTGACTTACGGATAGCAGGTGCCCGATCGTGTCTTTTGCCCTTGATATTGTCCGAATGTTCCACTTTTCTCAAACCTCACTGTCACATTGCCATTACTTAGCGCCACTAAAGGAGCACTCATCACACTGCTTCCCGACTGCCTGAAGGCAAGAGTTGGGATTTGCTAGCCTTGTTTTCCTTCTTACCTTAGCAGTGAGTTGTGGTCAAGGGAGTGATACTCATTCCATGAACTGAATGCACATATTCCAAGCCTGTTTACATTCCTGCCATTTTAGAGATCTCCCCACTTGGACATTTCAACTGGGTCATTTTTCATTTGCCATCGATTTATATACTATTCTGGTAAAGTTACCTTTTCCAGAGCACTGTCAGATTGAACAGGAGAGGGTATTAGTGTAAAACTGGTACTTGGCAATTATGATTATTTTGAAATACAAACAAACTGTACTATAAGAAGTAGTTTAAGGCTGGGCACAGTGGCTCACGCCTGTAATCCCAGCACTTTGGGAGCTCAAGGCAGGTTTCATTTGGCCATATTCCTCCAAAACTAAAATAGGTTAAAATAAAGGAGTGTAGGCTGGGTGCTGGTGGCTCATGCCTGTAATCCCTACACTTGGGGAGGCTGAGGTGGGTGGATCATGAGATGAGGAGTTCAGGAAGACCAGCCTGGCCAACATGGAGAAACCCCATCTCTACTAAAAATACAAAAATTAGCCGGGCATGGTGGCGGGCACCTGTAATCCCAGCTACTCGGGAGGGAGGCTGAGGCAGAGAATTACTTGAACCTGGGAGATGGAGGTTGCAGTGAGCAGAGATCACACCACTGCACTCCAGCCTGGGTGACAGAGTGAGATTCTGTCTCAAAAACAAAAACAAAACAAAACAAAACAAAAATGAGTGAATACTTGTAATGACGCTCTCATATAAATGCACGTGTGTATATAAACATAGAAACACATACAGAGTTGAAATTCATTATTTGCAAAATCTATATTTGCTAACTTGCCTAGTCGCTAAAATATATTTTTAACTCCAAAATTGACATGCACAGGGCTTTTGTAGTTATTTGCCGACACGTGCTGAGTGGTGAAAGATTTGGGGGTCTCCCAGCACAGATGTTCCGAACTGAAATCGAGCAAGCTAACATTCTGGCTTTCTTTTCCAGCTCTCAGGCAGTAAGGCATCCTTTTTGCAGTCTATTTAGTGCCACGTTTTTTGTACTGTTGTGCTTTTTGTTAGTGATTTTTCGGTCTAAAATGGCCCCAAGAGCAGTGTTAAAGCACTAACTAGTGTTTCTGAGCACAAGAGGGCTGTGAGGTACCTTATGGGGAAAAATCTGTGTGCTGGACAAGTTGTGTTGAGTCATGAGCTATGGTGCTGCTGGCCTTGAGTATTAATGAGTCAACGGTATTTATTAAATGTCTTTAAACATCAAACAATGCTATGTATTGTTCAGTCCATGAAAATGTTGTGACCCCAGAGGCTCACAGGAGTCCTGTATTTTTTCCAGGCGTAATGGTTCAGTATATGCTGATTCAGTGCCCAGTCCACAAATAGCAAGAATTGACTGTGTGTGTGTGGAGTTAACTAAGCCCCAGAGGGAAAAAGAGACTAGAAGAGATAGTGTCATGTACACATATCTGTAGAGAACAAGAAAGGAGTTTATAGGGCATAAAGTGACAGTTCCCTCGACTTGCCATAAAGTTTACTGTCAGCCCACGGCAGCTTTATTTCTTTCTGAAGTGAGCAGAAATGGTTTAATATAGTGTAGGACATAAAGGACTGTGCAATTAATAATTTATATGTGCTAAATAGTTTGGTGAGTGCCTCTATAGTACTAATAGAAAGTCACTTTGTTCTGAAGACATTGATGTATTTCATCCTTCTCTTGTATCCTTAATTATTACTCTGATTTACCATAGCCATCTTTTTTCTCTTATAGCTGCCTTTTGATTTATTTTTGTTTTAAGATCCAGGGAATTTACTGGGTCCATGGTGTAGGATTCTAGTTATGGAACCCCATGTTGAGTCTATTCAACAGCTAGATTGAGTCTATATTAAGGTGTTTAAACAAAATCAAACTAAGAAACCTGATTATGTCATCAAATTGTAACAAGCTGGATTTTTTTTTTTAAATGAGGTTTTGGGTACAGAATGAGGTTGGGCTTGGAGATAGTTGACTAACCACCTGCTTTGGTAGAAACTCTTTCCTTTAAAAGAATAAAGAGGTTATAGGGATTGGAGACCTTTATGTGTTATACTTTGGTGTGGATTTGTGTGTCTTAAAACAACCCTGGCCTTGTCTGTATTCTTAGCTTTCATGTTCTTTTAGAATATTACCCTAGTCTCTCATTTGCCAGAAAGATGGATACTGTCATTTTTAAGTCTGTCTTGTAACATGGCTTTACATGGTCTTAAGATATTATTTGTGAGGCTGACTCTCATAGGTAACGGGCAAGTGAATGAAGGAGTATTTCCTCAAGTAGTAAAGTCTTGAGCAAAGCCACAATTAACTGAGGAGAAAAGTAAGATTAATGTGCAAGTGAAATTCTAGAAGAAGAGTTTTAATTTTTGGAGTAGCTTGGAATATTTGCGGTAAAATATACCTCCTTTACTTCTTTGTATCCTTTTGATGAATCGCATTCCAAATGCAAAATTTATGAAACTTCGGAGGATCGACTTCTCCAGCAGATCTCTCATCAGTTCTTCCCCGTTGAAAGAAGCTTCTTTTGAGGCAGCAAGTCTTAGTTAATCCTATCAACTGAAAACCTGCATTTCAAAACAATCAGTAAATACAAAGCAGAACCTAGCTCTTTTCAGGCCATATCTATCAATTCTCTTGAAAGCTATCAGGCTGTCTCCTATAGCAGTTCTGGGCCGAGCTGTTTATCTGTTTAAACAAAAATAATATTGAAAGAATTTTAACCTCTGAAGACTGGACTCAGAAATCATAATATGGTGGTCCACTCTTAATGCATTTAGAAAATGTGATATTTGGGCTCTTTTAACAGGACTGCAAATAAAAATAATCCAAATACTCTGTAAAATAAAGACAGATTTGTGCTTCTTGAAGTCTGTAAAATCTCCTACCCAATATTAATATTAAAAATGTACAGGATCTTCTCTCATAAGGAAACACATTTAGAATGACAAATTTTTAGTTTGAGATTTTAAAAGGGTGAAAGAAGACACTTAAGAAGAAAATAAGCATGGAGGCATTTTATATCAAAAAGAAAATCCAGGCCAGGTGCAGTGGCTCATGCCTGTATTCCCAGCAGTTTGGGAGGCCTAGACGGGTGGATCACCTGAGGTAAGGAGTTCGAGACCAGCCTAGCCAACATGGTGAAACACTGTCTCTACTAAAAATACAAAAATTGAGACAGGCGTGGTGGCAGGCACCTGTAATCCCAGCTACTCAGGAGGCTGAAGCAGAAGAATCACTTGAACCTGGGAGATGGAGGTTGCAGTGAGCAGATGTGCCACTGTACTCCAGCCTGGGTGACAGAGCAAGACTCCATCTCAAAAAAAAGAAAAAAGAAAGAAAGAAAGAAAGAAAATCCAGCAAAAGGATCAAAACATTTTTTTGTTCTATGACTTAAATAATTTAATTGTATTTTCCCCCATATATAAAAAGCAATAAACGATGATTTCCATAGTTAAATAAGTACTTTTTTCTTTAAAAATACTATGAAACCTTTATGATCAAATTATTTCCAAATTCAACTTCATTGATTTCTGAATAAGAAATACTACTTTATAAAATGAAATGCTGGTGTTCATAAACAAGCAAAATAACAAAGGAAAACAATTGTTTTAAAGCATGCTTGTATGAATAAACGTTTCTCAGATTACTAAGAGTCAATAACATTATTTGGAAGATTTGGGGATAATCTGGTTTGCATAAAACATATTTACACTTTATTTTTTATTTATGTTTTTATTTTTTTGAGGCAGAGTCTCGCTCTGTCACCCAGGCTGGAGTTCAGTGGCACAATCTCAACTCACTGCAACCTCCACCTCCTGGGTTCAGGCAATTCTCCTGCCTCAGCCTCCTGAGTAGCTGGAATTACAGGCACTCGCCATCACGCCTGGCTCATTTTTGTGTCTTTGATAGAGACGGGGTTTCGCCATGTTTTCCATGCTGGTCCTCCTCATCTTCTGACCTCAGGTCATTCACGTGCCTCGGCCTCCCAAAGTGCTGGGATTACAGGCATGAGCCACTGCACCCGGCCGTATTTACGCTTTAAAATGCCTCATGAATTAAGTCAAGCTTTACTGCAGACAAATGCTAAGAAACATGAAAATATAGACAATTTTACTATATTCAGATCATTAAATTTATCGAAATAATTAGATGATTATTTAAGGGATTCAGTTGGCCAGACATTGAGAAATTGTTTGGTTTTTGTTTTTTTAGAGAGCACAGTCAGACGAACTTGAAAAAATAGAGAAGCATGGCCGATCTTCCAAAGACAAGGAAAATGCCAAGTCTCTGGACAAACCTGAACAGTAAGCATGCCTTAGAACCACGTAGAGGGCATCCAGGCTGTGGGTCAGCCCATTTTGTTTGGAAAATGCAAATGCAGTGTCTTCAGTGCGTACTTGTTATGAATGAGATGAGGATAAACATCTGTTAATGTGAATTATATTTTTCTTCTTAACTTGGCTTTATTTCCTTAGGTTCCTTTATGAACTGTCACTAATCCCCAACTTTTCAGAGCGAGTCTTTTGCATCCTGTTCCAGTCCACGTTTTCAGAAAACATTTGCTCAATTCATCGCAAACTGGAATTACTACAGAAATTGTGTGAGGTGAGTTCTGGTCCAAAGAGAGCTGAACTTCAGTCTCATTTAATTGTGCTCAGTCATGTTCATATTTCAAAAAAGCATTCTTTTATTTACTCTAAGTACTCACCAAATTTGAAGGATAGCAGTCCCACAAAAGGGAACATTTTATGATTGAGCCTCAAGATCAAGGCAAATGTTCTGATGGGCACCTGGGGCTACAGGGCCATATTGCTAGAATGCAGCCAGTTCATGTTGGCCTCCAGAAACTTCTCTGCCTTCTCCTTTTGCCAAAACAAAATTTTCAGTTTTCATGGGCCTCTCAGACATCCGACTTCCAAAGAAATGTAATTTGAAGGCATTTTCTTTACTTTCTTTCTTTATCTGGAAGGACCCCTCCACAAATCGTTAATAATTATTCCAGCCAAGTAATTTAGGAACAGCCATATGACTCAATAGAAGATAAATGTTATTCTGAAAACAAAAAATAAATGCTTGGCAGAAATGACCAGTATTAACATTTAAAATGATTTGTCAAATATCAGTACCATTTGTTCTAGTTGTGGCAAATGATTTTGAAAAGTGAAAAGATGTTTTTACAGGCTCACATTTTCAGAAGACGTGACATGCAAATTCAAGTGAAACAGTGTTTTGAAAGAAATGAGTGTGAACTCTTCAGGGGTAAACCTAAATTTAGAAGTTAATCTCTGTAACTGCTTTTTGGGTTCCTCTGCTGATGCCAAAAATTTGTATTGTTCCACACAGAGGCACAATTAAGACAATGGCAGAATGTTGGTGATATTATTTTGTAATACTTCTCATTTGGCCTTCTTTGTTCTCATATAGCCTTAGTTCCCATGTAGCCTTAATAGTTCTCATACAGAGTTATTTGTTTTCCTAGAAATTAGATCATAGAAATGGCCTAGCATAGCATCTCTCAGCTTACAAAGGCATACCTGAATATTTGTGAGTGGTGCAACAACTTTCAAGATACTTTTCTTAAACTATAACTAGTAATTAGAAATCACAAAGCTTGGTCGTGACCCAAAACTACTCATACAGTATAAATAGCTGGCAGCGACTTGAGATGATTCAAACAAAACCTTTCATAAAATAAAAGTTGTTTTTTTATTGTTGTTATTCTGTTTTACAGACACTAAAAAATGGCCCAGGGGTTATGCAGGTTCTAGGTTTGGTTCTTGCCTTTGGCAACTACATGAATGGAGGAAATAAGACTCGAGGACAGGCGGATGGCTTTGGATTGGACATTCTTCCAAAGCTGAAAGACGTCAAGAGCAGTGTAAGTATTTTGCATGAGTGGACGTAAGCAAATTGAGAATTCTATGTTTTGTTTAGTAATAGGTTTGAATGTAAAGCAGTTGTAATAAATATTTCTTTTATGTTCCTAGGTCAGATGTTTCTTTATGTTCTGAGCTAGAAAAAAGTAATATCCATCAGTTATTTGTGATGTAGTGATGAATAATGTTTCCTAATGTGAATAATATTTGTCTAATGAATAATTACAACTTTCTAATATAAAAACAATATAAAAAGTAATTTTATATTATTTTAATATAAAATAATTGTTTTAATAGAAACACTTTAATAGAAAACTTGATACTGGTGTGTAGGGGAATGTCTAAGCCCTTTCGCAGACCTAACTATTTTTTGGTCCTGCTTCTGCAGTTGTGATTATTTGAAGTTAATATTTAAGCAATTGTGAGGGTGCCAGTAGAAATATGAGGTTAGAAATGATGGTAAGAGTCACAGACTCAAGTCTGAGATGGTAAACTCAAAAAAATAAAAGAGTTACATTTCTCTGATAAAAGAATATATATAGTTTTAATATAAAAACAATAATTTATTTTACTGTATCTTTCCCGTGTCTGCTAATATTTATCCTTTTGGAATCTGAAGGCTAATTATTTTCTGTGAGTTAGACAGTATATCTCGCATTTTTTTTTTTTGCCATGTAAAGCAGTGGACGCCCACAGGTCCATATTTTGAAAATAACACAAAGATGATTAAAATGGCTTGTAAATAAAATATAAAAGATGATTCTACTCTTCTGTGCAGACTTCTCTTCTTGATACTGGTGTCGGGGGGGATAGAAGCCCTTTTGCAGCCCTGATTATTTTGTGGTACTGCTTCTGCAGTTCTGTTTGTTTTAAATTAATATGTAAGCAATTGTGAGAGTGCAAGTAGAAATAGGAGGTTAGGAATGATGGTACGAGTCAAGACTCAAATCTCAGATGGTAAACTCAAAAAATAAAAGAGTTACGTTTCTCGATAAAAGAATCATCCCACACAAAAGAAGGATAAAGGAAATTCTGGCATGTTTTTAAAATATTAAGTTTAATAATTGGCTTGTAGAAATGATAGTAGATAGGATTGTCCTTCCTAGATAATGAAGTAATCTACTTCATGAGAGAAGGAGACTTTTTAAAATCTTTTCTACCAGCCAATAATTTGTTTATTGTCCTATGTACAGATGATTCTCAACTTAACAATGGGGTTACGACCTGATAAACCCATCCTAAACTGAAAATGCCATAAGTGAAACGGCATTCAGTACATCTAACGTAGCAAACATCAAAGTGTAGCCTTGCCTACCTCAAACATGCTCAGAACACTTTTAGCCTACAGTTGGGCAACTCATCTCACACAAAGGCTATTTTATAATAAACCGCGGAATGTCACATGTAACTGATTGAACGCTGTGCTGCAAGTGAAAAACAGAATGGTTGTATGGGTACCTGAAGTACAGTTTCTACTGAATGTGTATCACTTTTGTACCATTGTAAATTTGAAAAATTGTAAGATGACCCATCATAAGTCAGAGACTGTGTGTGTGTGTATGTGTGTGCGTGTGTATGTGTGTGCGTGTGTGTGTGTGTGTGTGTAGGGGGGTCAATTTAATACAGATAATCATTGAACATTCTTTCTTTGAGCATTTATGGAATCTGGACACTGCCTTTCCAAGATCGAGTAATTCATAGTCCCTCCTTGGTACACATAGGATTTTTTTATTTTTGTGGTTGTTTGTTCAAATGCTCCTGTGTGTGATACACATTTTCATAGAAATCTCTAATACATAGACCTGATAGATTACACTTGTTTAAAAAAAAAAAATGCTTACACCAAGCGCAATAGCATGAGCCCATAATCCCAGCTACTTGGGAGGATTTTTCAAGACCAACCTGGGCAATACAGTGAGGCCCCTTCTAAAAAAAGTGCAGGGGTCGGGGGGAGGGAGGGAAAAGAAAAGAAGAGAAGAGAAAAGAAAAGAAAAGAGAAAAGACCTTTGCTTAACCTATGGTAATTCTTGAAAACGCAGCAACTGCTTGTTGGAGTGAAACAACTTTTGCAAATAATATTGAAATATATAACATCAATATCATGTTTAAATTATAAAAATGAACTGGAAATAGTTTCTAGTGATCATATACAAATAAAAGATTATTTGTGGGATTTTTTTGGTATCAGTTTATATATTTTATTCAATCCTCTACTAAGTTAAATTTCATTAATTTAAATAATCAAGGCGTAATCTAAAATAAAAATTTAAATATGTAATTAAGAAATACCTTTTTAAAATTGTTTCACTTGTACTCAGAGGAGCTATGCAAAGTCTTCCTGGATTGGTTCTTCTTTCTAAAACAAATGTAACTATACTTATTCCTCAGTACTATTTATAGACCTCCATGGACAGAGCTGTTACTTTGATCACTTAGAATTTTCTCTCAGTATGCCTAGTTTTGTTAATTGATTCAGGTTCTGCCAACTGTTTCATTGAATTACAAGTCGGGGGAGAAAAAGGAGGTCAAGTTGCTTAAATCATTTTACAAGCAAATCCTGTCTAATGAGGGATGTCTCTAATAGCTATATTACTGACTCATGTCAAACTTGATTATAAACAGTTTTTGCTCTTTTAATACATATAGAAAAAGTCATGGTTATATTAAACAGTCCAGAGAATGTAGTTTGTATCATAGAGTTTTTTTAAAAAGTAAAATATATAGTTAAGCTCTCAGTTTCAGATTATCTACTATTACTTTAGAGCAAAAAAAAAAAAAAAGTTAAATAAAAATTATTGCCCCTAAATAAACCAGAAAGAAGGTGAAAAGCTATTCTTTGAAGTGTTAGGTATGAAACAACTTTACCTTTTGTTAAATAGAAAACATCCACATTGTCTTATTTATAGCCACATAAGTATTAATTCCTCAATCTCAGTTGCTGATATAACAAATTGTAGTATTGGAACTGTTAAAAGCTCCCCTTTACTTACAATGATATTTAGCTTTTTTATTTCCCTAATCTATATGCTAATGCTAATCAAACTTAGTGTTGGAGTGGTACCTATTAGTCCAGCTATATATCAATGCTAGCAGTATTTAATTATTTCCTTTAAGATAGTAGTTTTAAAACATAAAAAATAATAATCAAATGAAAACATAATAAAAACACAAAGTAATAAAACACACTTGATAATAATAAGACATGAGCTAAGTTTCTAATTGAGAAGGGTAACAATTGGAAAGTATTTCCAATTCAGACTTTGACCCTAAATAGCTGTGCTAAGATTGGAGCACTGGGGAGAAAAATCTTTGATGCCATCAAACTCCTTAGACACCATGGCCAAGACAATTCAAAATGTAAAATTTCACATGTCATTCCAAATGTTCTCATGTGTATACATGAATTCACTAGAATCTTTTTTGGTGACACTTTATATTTAATTAGTTAAAAAATATATTGTCACTGACTTTGCTCTTTCTGCCTAGGACAATAGCAGAAGCCTTTTGTCATATATTGTTTCGTATTATCTCCGAAATTTTGATGAGGTAAGACAATGTTTACCTCATATTCCGTTCTTCTTTATTTGTTGGATGATCTGGCAGTGCTTTTTGTTGTTTTTGTTTTGAACATCTCTGCTATTATTCTTTTTTATATTGATAACCAATTCCTTTAAATATGATGGGGTTTTCTGTTCATTAGGATGCTGGAAGAGAACAGTGTCTGTTCCCACTGCCAGAACCCCAGGACCTTTTTCAGGCCTCACAGATGAAGTTCGAAGATTTTCAAAAAGATCTCAGAAAACTGAAAAAAGACTTGAAAGGTAACTTACGATCCTGAACCTCATGTTTTCTGTTTATGCTTTTTAATGAGAGAAGGCAGACTTTTCAATGTTTTGAGAGAAAAGTAAGCTTTTCTTATCCTTATAGAACTAAATGTGTGTGTGTATGTGTGGCAAAAGAAGAATTTTGCCAATATTCTTAGTCGTTGGTTATTTAAAAAGTTACGTGTATCAAAAACTTGGTTATTAAGTAATATCTTGGTTATTTCAATTAACAATCTGTTTTGTCAAGAGTAAGTTTACATTTTGTTTCTATTTTATAACCAAGAACATTTGGATATTGGTCATGTCATGGTTGGATACAAATTATGTCATTGTTATAACAGAAGATAAATAGTCCCTCCCCATTTCCTTTGGTGTACTTGCCCAAGATTTTCTGGCTTATGAACTTCCCTGGGAACAAAATATCTTCTATTTAAAAACCACATACATGTATATTGTTTTTATTACCAATCAAAAAGTTTTATATAAAATTATTTTGGAGAATAATAGGCTGAAATTTTTCAAATTTCTGAATTAAAAGCATTTACAAAAAAGCAAATAGTTTGCAAATTTTTTGATTTTGTAGGTAAAATTCCTGCTATCCCTTTTCTTGATGTTCTTACTGAGTTGTGAACACCTCAGAGCTTTTTTGCTATATTACATACAGATAAGGAGTAAATACATTTACATGAGATTTTCATTTGATATTGTGTTACTATATGAGAAGAAAAGGCCTGGTTACCCCTGTCCAGAAACCAAAAAAAAAGACAACTTTTTAAGAGACTCTCAATTTTGAGGTGTGTTTATCCAAAGTTACTGATCTGTATTCAAATTCATAGAATTGTTAGATTCTAGTCACAGATGTTTTTATGTGGATTTCCATGAATACAGGAACATTATGTAGTGTGCTTATAGTTTTTATATATTCAACAGCATTTATTATGGACTTGGTTCATGTCAGACATTTGCTAGGTCCTGTGAAGTCACAAAGGTTATAGGAATCGCTATTGAAGAGGGCTGAAATTCTGTCACTTAGATGTGCCCTGTTGGAGACTTACATTTTGGTACTCGCTGACTGAGGCCAAGAAAGACTGCCTTGACTTACTCTGTCTTTATTACAATAATAATAAATAAAACTATGTTATATTTATATAATATTATGGTACTGTGAATTTTAAGAATGAATTCTGAAAGCAACAGAAAAAAAGAAGTCATGGTATAGTATTTATCATGCTTCAGCCTGATGATAGGCATCTTCGTTTGCTTATGAAATTTTATACACACTATAATGTGGTGCTAGGGACATTTCTAAGGGATCTGGAAAACACTTCCCACTTTAATCAATAGTTCAGTCTTGTAAAGTAGGATTTCGTAGTTTACAGGTGATTTGTTAAAGAAGAAGATTGGATGGTCCTGTTAAAAAGATACCAGGATTTACATTTGCTCTCTGTAGTTGTATCACTTTGGAACGTTATCCCATTTTCTTATAATAAATACACAACTAAAAAGAAATACCTAACTCACACCAGATAGTGGGTTTGAAAAGGACAATCAGCCAGTGTCTCTGAATACGAATTCCACTTCGGTATTTGCCGCCTACAAGTGCTAAGTGCCTGCATTTGGCAGCACAGAAGATTAGATATTGAACAAGTATCTTAGCAATTTTTTTAGTATCTCAGAGGGTGAAAAAGAGGATTTTAACCCTGAAGGTTTACACTTTATAGCAGGGAAAGATGAACTTATCTTTCAGATAAGTTTCAGATCTGAAAGACCTGTGCCCTTGACCAACAGTGATCACAATTGTCTAGCATAGGAGTGTCCCCAGTTTGAACATAGCTTGTTACAATTTGGTAGAGTTGCTAAAAGGGAGAGTTTCATGGCCAAATGAATGTAGAAGCTGCTAAGTTAAATTTAAAAGGACTTCATGGTATTCTTAAAAAAAAAAAAAAAGGACTTGGAATTGTTCTCCCATTCATTAAAGATCACTTTTTCACAGACTCTCTCATGGGTTCTGTAGTCACTGAAACGTATTTTGAGAAATGCAAGGTGAGCGTACTGTGTTAGTAACAGAAGAATGGTAGTTACCTTTGAGGAGCTCACAGGGAAAGTGGAGAAATGAGGCAATAGTTCACGAAACAATGTAATTATACGTTACTCTGCTGAAAAACTAGAATCAGCTTGAAGAGCTATTTACAAAGCTGTCAGACTCTGAGGATCAAAAACTGACAAATCATAATTTACTTCATTTTTTTTTGCTTTTCTAAAATTTGGGGTTTTCCGTGGAAAAGATGTTTTGTGACACGAGAAAGGAAATCTTATACATTGAAATTTAAATTCAGTTACTGGGAAGTAAAGATATATCCAAATATAGAATTTCATATCAACAAGGCATGGAATCTGCCTCATGTCCTTTTTAGGAATGAGATGGATATAAATAGATATATATATCCATCTGACTAAATGCGAGTCAAATGAAAAATTACTGGATTATATTATTTTAGGAACAATTACTTTGAAATAATGTCTACTTTGATCAAAGTAGCCTATTAAAAATGATTCTTTCTTTCTTTCCTCCTTTCTTTGTTCCTTTTTTTCTTTTCTTTTCTTTTCTTTTTTTTTTTTTGACAGAGTCTTGCTCTGTGGCACAGGCTGGAGTGCAGGGGTGCAATCTTGGCTCACTGTAACCTCTGCCTCCCCACCTCCTGGGTTCAAGCAACTGTCCTGCCTCAGCCTCCCAAGTAGCTGAGATTACAGGGACAAGCCACCGCTTCCAGATAATTTTTTGTATTTTTAGTAGAGGCAGGGTTTCCCCGTGTTGGCCAGGCTGACCTCGAACTCCTGACAAGAATGATTTCTTCTAAGTGATCAGGTGAAAGAATTCATTTAAGAAGATTCAAAGGGCCACGTTTTTTTTTTTCCCAGAGGCAAGTTGTTATAAAAAGCTTTAGAAAATAGGTTAATGTATATGAAGGATTTATGTCAATACCTTTCATACAATAAATATCCAATAAATCTTGGCCATTCACAGTAAGGTAAAAATAGAATAAGCAGTGTGATTAGTCTGATAAAGACAGATAAGCTATAATCATAGAGTTCCTCATCTGCTGGCTGTAGCACTTCTGTTTCTGCTTAAAGACTTGATTTTTATTTCTAAGGAAAGGCTGAGCAATCATGTGTTAGGGCTCAGACCTTTTAATAAGACAACTGAATCTCATTTTAGCATTTTATAAGAACATCCACTGTGTTTAGTTTCTCTGCTCACTCCCAAGATTTCCGTATTTCCTCAGGGTACTTCCCTGGCTTTCTGAGTGACTGACTTGTAGCTCATTAAGCAACCTGATCTGCTTTTGATCTCTTCTGGCTGTCATTAGCTTTCCTTGATGTAGTCATGCCAAATGATGACTCTGTTCCAGTGCCTTTCTTGAGTAGGAATTGTAGCATTTGCCACATGACTTAAATCAACTCAACATGCACAGAGCATTGAGTAATTAAGTTACCGGAACTGGACAAGAATGTTCTCATGCAAATTTTTCTCTGGATCCTCTTTCTTTCTGTTCTTCCTCTCCGCATTCAAACTCTCTCTCTCTTTTCAACATCTGAGTTGAAAACATGTTAAAATTCATTAGCTGTACCTTCAAGTTGAAGCAATGTCCATGTACAGAGATGTAGGGAAAACCAGCCCTCAAACTTGTTTATATTATATTTTCGGCTTACAATGACTAGTATGTAATTATTACATTTAAAATTGTTCATTTCTGATATTTCCTTCCCCCCCTCCTTGTGTTTGAGGAGAGGAAACAAATAACCTTTTTAAAAAATAACATTTTACAGTAGTCCTCCCGCCTATCCAAGGTTTTAATTTCCTCGGTTTCAGTTACCCACAGTCAACCTTGATCCAAAAATATTAAGTGGACAATTTCAGAAGTAAACAATTCATGTTTGACTTTGTGCACCCTTCTGAGTGGTGTGATGATATCTCCCACCATCCGCCTTCATTCTTCGGCATGTGGGTCATCACTTAGTTCAGTGTATTCAAACTCTATATACGACCTCCCTGTTAGTCACTTAGGACACTGCTCCCCAAGCTTTTTGGCAACAGAGACCAGTTTCATGGAAGACAGTTTTCCCTTGGACAAGGCATGGGGTTGGTTTCGGGTGATTCAAGTGCTTTACATTTATTGTGTACTTTATTTCTATTATTATTGCATTGTAATATGTAATAAAGTAATTATACAACTCAGTGAAAGCTCTAAGCTTGTTTTCCTGCAACTAGATGGTCCCATCTGGGGGTGGTGGGAGGCAGTGACAGATCATCAGACATTAGATTCTTCTAAGGAACATACAACCTAGATCCCACACATACACAGTTCACAGTAGGGTTCTGGGGGATGGGAGACAGCGAGAGATCATCAGACGTTAGTTTAGGGCCTTCACTAATTCTACATTATGGTGAGCTGTATAATTAACTTCATTATATGTTACAATATAATAATAATAGAAGTAAAGTGCACAATAAATGTCATGTGCTTCAATCATCCCAATTATTCTAAGGAGAGCAAACCCTCGATCTCTGACATGCGCAGTTCACAGTAGGGTTATGGCTCCTATAAGACTCTAATGCTGCTGCTAATCTGACAGGAGGCAGAGCTCAGGCTGTAATGCTAGTCCTGAGGAGCGGCTGTAAATATGGATGAAGCTTTGCTTGCTTGCTGGCCACTCACCTCCTGTTGTGTGGCCCAGCTCCTAACTGCACAGACCAGTACCTGTCCGTGGCCCAGGGGTCAAGGACCCCTGACTTAGGAGTCATCCTGATTATCAGATCAACAGATCCCAAAATGGGTGTGTGGGGTATGATAAGATGTTTTGAGACAGAGAGACCACATGCACAGAACTTCTATTACAGTATATTGTTATAATTGTTCTATTTTATTATTGTTTTTAATCTCTTACTGTACCTAGTTTATAAATTAAACTATAGCATAGGTATGTATGTATAGGAG